ATGTCTCAAAATACAAGGCAGAGAGAAGTGTTGACATATGTGAAAACACCTGTGTTACCCTCTGAAGTGCACCTGTGCGTGCACACACACACACACACCATACACACACGCACACGCTACACACACACACACACCACTAAACTCACTGGAAGTCTCCAGATGCCTCAGCTTTAGTGTCTGGAACCAGAGGTTGGGGTTAGTGTTCAATGGGAACAGAGTTTCGGTTTTGCAAGATAAATAGTTTTGGAGATGGTTTCACAACCCAGTGAGTGAGGTGAACGCCACTGAACTGGGCTCTTCAAAATGGTGAAGGTGATGAATCGGGCTCGGGGCAGAGCCCATATCTAGCTTGGGTGCTACTTCTCATCCTCCGTGCTGTTCTCACCACCAAAGCGAAAAAATGAAATGGTTAATTTAGTGATGTGCAAATTTTGCCCAAATATATTTTACAGATGGATTTTGCCATTTCATAAAAGTTTTAGGGGCAGCTGGGCGGTGGTGGCGCACGCCTTTAATCCCAGCACTCGGGAGGCAGAGGCAGGCGGATCTCTGTGAGTTCGAGGCCAGCCTGGTCTACAAGTTCTAGTTCCAGGACAGGAACCAAAGCCACAGAGAAACCCTGTCTCAAAAAACAAAAAAAAAGTTTTATGGGCTAGAGAGATGGCTCAGTGGTTAAGAGGACCTGAGCACCCACCAGAGTTCTAGGGGATCTGATGCCCTCCTCTGACCTTCAAGGGCACCAGGCATGCTCGAAGTACACAGACACACATAAAATAAAAATAAATCTTTAAAAAGTTTATGTGCAGCCAGGCTTGGTGGTGCACACCTTTAATCCCAGCACTCAGGAGACAAAGGCAGGTGGATCTCTGTGAGTTAGAGGCCAGCCTGGTCTACAGAGCTAGTTCCAGGACAGCCAAAGACACACAGAGAAACCCTGTCTCAAACAAAACAACAAAAGAAAAAAATGTTTAGGTGCTTGGGTGTTTTGCTTGTATGTGTGCCCACTCTCTGTATGCCTGGTGCCCAGGGAGTCAGGAGCATCGGGGAGCTGAAGTTACAGAGTTCCAAGCAGTTATAAACTGCCATGTGGGTGCAGAGGAACTGAACTTGGGTCCTCTGGAAGAGAAGCCAGTGTTCTTAACCACTGAGCATGCGCTGTCATCCCAGCGCTTGGGGGGCAGGGGTGGTAGTGAGTTTGGGGCCAGCCTGGGCTACATGAGACCTGCCTCAAAAACAAAATGAAACACCACTATCATCACTATCAACAAAACCTGTGTGGAAACAAGCTTTTTTTTGGGGGGGGGGATTCCCATTGTTTGTTTTTTGCTTTTTAAGACAGGGTTTCTCTGTGTAACAGCCCTACCTATCCTGGAACTTGCTCTGTAGTCCAGGCTTGCCTCTGCCTCCTGAGTGCTGGGATTAAAGGCGTGTGCCACTACTGCCCGGTAAGATTTTACTTTGCCTGGGTGTGGGTGTTTTGCACTTGTGTCTATGTATCATGTGTGTATCTGGTGTCTGCAGAGGACAAGATGCTATCAGATCCCTGGAAACTGGAATTACAGATGGTTCTGAGCCACCGCACGGGTGCTGGAAATTGGACTTGGGTTTTGTAGAAGGGAAAGCCAGTGCTCTTAGGCACTGAGTCATCTCTCCAGACCTATTTTATCTTTTTGGGGTTTTTTTTGTTTTTTGTTTTTTCAAGACAGAGTTTTTCTGTGTAGCCCTGGCTGTCCTCGAACTCACAGAGACCCACCTACCCCTGACTCCCCAGTGCTGGGATTAAAAGCATGCACTCTTACCACCTAGCCTTATTATTTTTAAAAAAACTTATTTAAGTTTTAATTATGTGTGTATGTGCCATGTTAATGAAGTGCCCACAATGGAGGATTTCTTGGAGCTGGAGTTCCTGGGGCTGTGAGCTGCATGCCTGAGTGCTGGGGACAAACTTGGGCCCTTTGGAAGAGCAGCTCATGCTCTTAGCTGCTGAGCCACAGCCCAACACTTTAGGTTGATTTTTAAAAGCTTAAAGAATCAGAAAACAATAACCTGGGTGTGGCTCAGTGGCACAGCGCTTGCCTGGTGTGCACAAGGCCTGGGTTCAATCCCCAGAGCTGCACACACCAAGAATAGCAAGAGACAAAACAAGATGCAGGGGGCTGGGGTTAGTAGAGGCTAGCACACACAAGGCACCGGGCTGCAGGCCAGCATCAGATACACTGGATGTGAAGAGGAGGCACAAAGATCGAAAGTTCTAGGCCAGCCTTAAAATAAGGAAGGAGTTAAAAAAAAAAACACAAAAGCATTGCCATTGTTTGTAGCTTTATTAAAAGTCCTTTTACTTCCTAAAACATGATTACAAGAAAAGAATACTTCATTTACGTGTAACACTGTCTTCATGGACGTACCGTGGTCGCAAAGTGAAGCTGAGTATAGAAAAGAGAGCAGGGGCAAGCACCGAGAGAACAGTGGCAGAGACAGGCAGGGGCTTGTATGAGGAGCTCTGTGCTTCCGGAGGCTGTGAGCACCCCTCAGGCACCGGCAGCTCTATCCACGTGCAGACTCCATCCTGACATCCGCCCGCCAGCCCACCCATCACTTGCCTGTCTCTCATTTGTCAT